GAGGGCCAGGAGGTCTCCCCTCAGCCTCCTCTTCTCCAGACTGAACCCCCCCAGTTCCCCCAGCCGCTCCCCAGCAGACCTGTGCTCCAGACCCTGCCCCAGCTCCGTTGCCCTTCTCTGGCCACGCTCGAGTCCTTCAATGGCCTTTTTGGGGTGAGGGGCCCAGAACTGAACCCAGGAATCGAGGGGCGGCCTCCCCAGTGCCGAGCCCAGGGCTCAGATCCCTCCCCTGTCCCTGCTGGCCACGCCAGGGCTGGTACAATCCATTTTCCTTCATTTTGAAGAAAATCCTCCCTCACAGGGATTCCTCAACTCCCTGCTTCCCCGGCTGTTGAACCTCTGCCGAGGCCGTGAAGATCATCTCCAGCGGGGTGAAACTGAGCCCAAATGTTTGGTTCTAGGAATCAACACGGGGGTTTCACAACAAAATTATTCAACCCCTTCGCCACGAGCCCAGCCCCTGGAGGCAGGGCGGTTCTAACACACACACAGGGCCCGGCCCCGGCTCCCTCACCCTGTGGTCCCCAGAGAACCGCCCTCACTGCTGGAACGGGGCAGGTTGGAAAATAACTAGGAAAAAAAAAAAAAAGAATAAACAGCAACGAGGAACTTGAGGCAATAAAGCAGCTGCTGACATGGGTGTTCTGAGGTGCCAGGGGCAGATAATTATTTAAAATCACGGTTATTGAAAACAAACGTGGCAAAAAAGTCCGACTGTGGCAGCAAAGGGCTACAGCAGCATTTCCCCACCCGCAGGCTCCACGTGCTACAGCTCCCCGGCCCCTCACTCCTGTGCAGAAGGCTCTGATTCTTCTCTCACACACATCTAAGATACCGTCAAGGTCACAAATTTGGCTTTAGTCAGCCCGAATCAGGCCCATCACCGCAGTAAAACAGCGTGCGAGCCCACAGCCACGCGCTGGCTGTCAGGATTCTCCCTGCTGAGCCGAGCGGGGAATAGGAAATTCTCATCTCTTTCCAAAGATCATGATGGGTTCCTTTTTTATTTCTTCACAAACTTTGATCAAATTGTGCAAGTCCGGCAGCTTTTCAGTCCTGCTGCAGGTTTCTTCTGGCCTGACAAGATGAGGCTGCGTCCGCCATGCGCAGAGTCCCGCTTCCACGATGATAAAACCCCCCCTCGCCACACACAGGATCTCCCCCCATCCTCACTGGGGCTCCTTGAGTGTCGCCAGGAGTTCTTGTTGCTCTTTACTAATTGCCTGGAAGGAAAACAACCGCCACTGGACTCAGCAAAGTGCTTTTCCGCACAGATGCCAGCGGTCAGGAACATGACCCCCTCATCCCACCCCACGCACAGAGGAAAACATCCAAGACCTCCAGTGAAAGGCCCAGGCCAATTTCAGCAGCACTCTGTGGCTCCTTGTGAGGCCTTCGGGAAGTGGAGAGCTTAAACACAGCACAGCCATTTGCTAGGCAAGCCACAGAACTGTGTTTCTTGCTCACTGATGCTGCAAAGAGGGTTTTTTTTATTTGTTTATTTTTTTTATTTTTACCTGCCAGGCACGTTTGCGAGCTTCTATCAGCTGCTGCAGCTCTGCAATCCTGTCCCTCCCCGCAAGCACAGACTCTGCTGCCTTCCTGTTCTCTTCTTCCTTCTCCTTTAGGATTTTCTGCAGGTATGCCCTGTGCTTCCAGAGATACGGCACCATGGCGCTGCAAATATCCTCTTCCGGGATCCCGCTGGGACGCCTGGGAACAAACTGGGATGTGAAGCCACCAGCCAGCAACAATCCTGCACAACAATCGCTCTCAAACACCTCAACTGAAAGTTCTGCTGCCGGTATATATCATCTCACTGGCTCCTCCAGCTCCGGATGCTCGAGGACAGCTAGAACACACGTGTCTAAAGCCTCCCGACGCCACACACAAAGGGAACGGGGGGAGATCTTCCCAAAACTCTGCCCTCTGTGAGGCCTGGAGGCAGGCAGGATGTAATTAACTTCCCCAAACACAGAAACAAGGAAGCGGGATGATACTTTTTGATTAAAATACCCAGACTGGCTTTAGGGCGGGCAAAAGGTGGCGTGTCCAACTTCCAGTGCGTGCTGAGGCCCTGAGCAAGGCAGCCCAGCCAGAAGTGCTTGGCTATTAGAACACCAGCCGTGGCTAAAAGATGCCTTCAGCCTTTGAAATTATTCAGAATTGAGTTCACCTCCCTCTGGCCTCAGCAGCACTAACCTCTCTGCGCTGAGGAAGCACAGATACGTGACCTAGAGAAGCGCAGACAAAACTTGTTTTCGATGCAATGACATTGCTGTTAAGGTTTTTAAATTATTTTTTTTTTAAATTTCCTTGCAGCATAAAGGCCTACAGGACACATCAACACGACCCACACATTGCACGGGAACTGACTTTCACCCTTGAAGGAACATGCCTCCGCACACACGCTCCCCAGACCGCCTTCCACAAGACTATCCATACCACGCAGGCTCTTCCCGGTTCTTTGCCTCCTCCACGATATTATCCAGGGAATTAAAGAGCTGCTCCAGATTCCCTTCATCCTTTATCTCCTGGATCTCCTCCTGGGAAGGAAGGACACCACAGGGATTCAGCAGGGCCCAAGCCAAACTGACACAGTCATCATCCTGCTGGTGAGCCCTCGCTTTTCCCTGGATGAAGGCTACGTCCTGGGAATCACCAGCTATGGAGTCACCATCCCTTGAGGCATTTAAAAGACATGTAGACGTGGTGCTTGGGGACAGGGTTTAGTGGTGGAATTGGCAGCGTTAGGTTTAAGGTTGGACTCACAGAATCGTCTAGGTTGGAAAAGCCCCTGAAGCTCCTCCAGCCCAACCATGACCCTCCCCCTGACCCTTCCCAACTCCCCCAGATCCCTCAGCGCTGGCTCAGCCCGACTCTTCAACCCCCCCAGGGATCCCGGGGACTCCCCCCCTGCCCTGGGCAGCCCATTCCAACGCCCAACAGCCCCTTCTGCACAGAAATCCTTCCTCAGAGCCAGCCTGACCCTGCCCTGGGCAGCTTGAGGCCATTCCCTCGGGGCCTGGCGCTGGGGCCTTGGCTCCAGAGACTCATCCCCCCTCTCTGCCCCCTCCTGGCAGGGAGTTGCAGAGGG